AGCAGGCGGTGGACAGAGGCAAGCCCCCAGTAAAGCACTAGGGGTCAGCCGGGGTCCCCTAGCCTGTGCCATGGCCACAGGCCCTGTTTAGGATGAGACAGGAAGAGATGGAGTGGAGTGGATGAGGTGGGATAGACAGGATGGGTGGGATAACGTGGTGTATGCAATGGGATGGGGTGGGGTGGATGAGACAAATAGAATGGGATGAGAACAGCTTATTAGCAGTGCTGAACGTGGGCTCAGTGTCACAGGTATCTCCAAAGGGTACAAAGAGGCGGCATGAAAAGGTGGACAGGCACGCACTCCTGCTTCCATGCCATGATCCCATGGGAACCAGACAACTTCCCTCATCCTCCTTCCCCAGCTGTGAGACCAAAGGCTTCACTTCCTCCCCCACACACAGGAATTGTCCGTGCCTCATGGCATTGGCCAAGGGGCAAGAAAGGAGCAAGGAACTGAACAACCCAATACCCTTCTGTCTTCTCACAGCCCTGGCTGGGCACCCAGCACATCCCTGGGGGCTCAGCAGGACCCTTAGCCTCTTCCCCCAGCCCTGGAGTTCCTCAGTCCTCAGGCAACACAGCCATGTTCTTGGAGGCTCCCAGCTGTTTGCAGCCCACATGCTGCCACTTCCGAGCTGCACCCCCTTTCCTCCCTCCCCACCCCAGCACCCACCAAACCCCAGCTCTCCAAAGCCACCCAGCCCAGGCAGTGCTGAGCCCCCTTGGGGATATATGCCTCTGGTCTCCCAGGACACACAGCCCCCCAGGTCAGGCAAGGCACCCCAGCCACAGATGGGGGACAACAGGGTCCCTTCCCCAAAGCCAGAACCTCCCTTCCATGCACAGGGAGAGTGGCCAGCACCCCAAGGCAGAGGCATCCCAGGGCAACCGCTATGCCTGTCCCCTGTGCAGCACTGAGCCCCAGGCCCACCATCACCCGTGCCAGGTAATTAACAGCGCGTGAGAACAGGGGAATTAGCAGGGCGCTGTAGTTTGAGCTTCTAATCAAGTTTTTAATCAGAGCTGCTGGCAGCAGTGCAGCACCATTATTAATCTTGGCACCTCGTGGGAACCCGGAGCGTAACTCACCATCGCCCGGCACGGCTCCGGCACAAGGGACGGGCACTTGCCTCCATCACCCCTCGGCCCGGCTTGTACCTGTGCCAGAACAGCCCCAGCCTCCTGGCACTGCCCAGCCCTCCCCTCCTGGCACCGGCTCAGCCTGGGTTCCCAGGCTACCCTGTGACCTGTTTTGGGGTGATCAGCTCTGCTGAGCCCAATGGTGTTTGTTCCTGCTGTGCCATGCTCCACCACCTTGTGCACCCACCCTGTGCACCCACCACCCTGTGTGCCCACCAACCTGTGCACCCACCA